TATATATATATTCACTGGTTCATGAAAAGTGGCTTAGGAAACCTCTGAAAGATACATTTTATTACAAAAGGGAACAGACTTTTTGGGGCTTGAAGGGATTTGTACTTGAAGACACTCCAGTTGGCAGGGAGGTCAGGGTGAGCATTCTGCAGACAGAATTGTTTTGAGTCTGCCACTGCTTGGGCAATCTTCACCAAGGTGAACCCGGCCTCCAGCCTGAGCTGCTGAACGCCTTCATAGAGGTGACGCTGGAAGAACCAGCCATGACGGCTTTCTTTGGGCAGGCCACTGTGGATGAAGGCATTCTCAGGCCTCCGGATTACAAATGAGAAACAAAATGTTCCTCTTCACACTCTATTCTGCTGTCTACCTTCACTAGTAACTAGAGAATATTTGCCATTGAACTACATCATAAATCACTATACAATAAAGGGCAGGAACAAAACATTTCAGTGACAAGGCGAAGCGTGAAACAGCAGTAACATACAGACCCACACGGGAGCTCCTGGGTTCCTGTCTGGGACCTCTCTGCATGTGCCAAGCATGTGCGTGTACCTTGGGTCTGGAACGGCTGGAGCTAGGAGTGGATTGCAGTGTGGGGATTTTGTTGGGGGAGACTGTCTATTTCCCTCACTCTCTCTCTCAGATGAAATAGATAAACTTTAAACAATATTTTAAAAACCTTTTCAGTGACTGTACCCTGCATTTCATATTACCTAGCCTGTCAGACATCTATTTTGAGTATAACACATACAGCCAGATAATCAAATGCTGGGACCATGCAGTTAACACAAGCTGAGTATGAAAGAACTGCCCCTCGTGCCTAGAGCAAGGACTCGGCTGAGGAGAACTGTTTGCAAGGTCAACAGTTTGACGAGTTCTGGACCTCACCTTCATTGTGTTACTGTACTGGCCTGCACTCAGTTTCTCTGCCATGGGCCTTATTGCCATACCCCGGTACCCCATAAAGGCACCCCCAGCCTTACTATAACTTTTACAATAATCCTGAAAGAATGCGGATCCACTAAGGCAGCAGCTGCGTAGGGTAGCGGCTGCGAACAGGAGTTACTCCCATTAGACTCACCCCACACTATTGGGAAATGTCAATAAAGAATGCTACATTCACTTCTCCTACTAGGGATTACATAGATAGGCATTAGAAAGGTCTAGATGAAAGCTACTAATGGGCGAATGATCTCAGTAGCCGAGAGGGGCTCAGGGACTCATCCACGAGGTGCTGTTACCCCAAAGACCATAAGCCACCCTTACTCTCAGGACAAGGGAAGATCGCCATTCCCCAAGCCACAGTCATTGTATAAAGCAGCATGTAGAGGGTCCCAAGTACACAGTAACCTTTAGGTCAGTCATTTAGCTACTCACAAGACCACATTCCTTTCCCATGTAGACTCATCCTCTTAGCTGTGGACTACCCCAGAGATAACATAGGTATTTCACTTTAGTATATACTAACCTTGTCTTTACTAAACAGAGACAGGATTTATTTCTAGGCTCTTGTAATTACTGCCACCCCAGCCTGAGGCTGAAGTTCTCAAAAGATGACCTGGGGCTCAAGTTCTCAAGCCAATCTGGGACTAAAGTAATCAAACTAGTCTGGGACTGAAAATTCCTGGAAACCCTCTCATCCAAAGACCCTCCCTGGTAATCAAGATCAAAGAAGAAGATGCACCCAAAAAATGGACTTCCTTGTTCTAAAAATTATGACTGTTTTATACCTAAACAAAACAGATGTCATGTTTATGATTATTGTTCCTATACTTTGAATACCTTACCTTTTGGAGTAAAATCCTTCACTTATTTCGCCCATCCTACCCCTGTAAAACTCCTTCCATAATAAATACGCATGACTTCTGGCCATCAGGGCTGCAGTCTGGAGTTTACTCTGGCTGTAATCGGCTGAGAACATGCTAAAGGGCATGAGGTCTTAGTCTGATTCCTGTTCACCCAGGTCGCCTTCCTGTGCACCCACTCCGGCTGGGGTACGGCTCCCAGCAGTCAGATCATTGTTTCTACTTAACACCTTCTTCATTTGTCTTCTTTTTAAAAAAGAATTATTTATTTAATTTTATTTATTCATTCATCCATTTTAATTTAGTGAGAAAGAGAGGGAAAGTGAGCAAGCAAGCCTTCAGGTCCAGAATTCGAACCATGGTTGGCTACATGGGAGTGTCTACCATGCCACCTGCTGCTCTCCTCATTTGTCATTTTAAATAAATAGGTTTTAAAAATAACTTGTGATGGGACCAGCAGTTAGCGTAATGGCTATGTCGCTGGCCTCCCACGTAGTCGACCACGGTTCGAGTCTCGGACCCGGTGGCTTAAACTCATACCAGGAGCGTGTGCGTGCATGCCCAAGATCCCAAGAGGAGAATGGAGGAGAAGGGATTGCGGCGTGGCCACTCCCCCTGGGGGGTGATTTCTTGCTTTCTATCTCTCTGTCTCTCTCTGTCTGTCTGGCAAGCACACGTGCCTTATAGCAAAAACCTCTCCAAAAAAAGAAAAAAAAAAAAAAACTTGTGATGAGGCCAGCAGGTAGCATGGTGGCTAAGGCCCTGGACTCCCACATGGTCACCTTTAACTGAAATCCCAGAACTAGAAGCGTAAAACTAACTCCAGGAATGTGTGTGTACACAGATGCCCAAAATCCTAAAAGGAGAATGGAGGAGAAGGGATTGTGGCATGACCATCTCCCTCGAAGGTGATTTCTCACTTCCTGTCTCTCAGGTGATCCCATGTACCCTATAGCAAAAAATCTCTCAAAAAAAAAAGCTAAAAAACAAAAACTTGTGGGGCCATCAGGTGGTGTAGTGGTTAAAGCACTGGACTCCCATGTGGTCAACCATGGTTCAAGTCCTGGACCCAGTAACTTGAAAGTCACCCCAGGTGCATGTACACACATGCCCAAAATCTCCAAGAGGAGAATGAGGGAAAAGAGATTGCAGCATGGTTGATCCCCCTAGGGTGTGATTTCTCACTTTTCCTCTCTGTCTCTCTTTGATGAGTACATGTGTCTTATAGCAAAAGTATTTACAAAAATAATAAATAAAAAACAATTTGCTTCAGCTAGTACTAAGATTTACTGATACTTCTTGGTCATTTATCATATGTAGACCTAAGAAAATAATATTCTGAGTGATGGGGGAGGAGGCCAAAGGTAACATCTGTCTCAGGTGTTCTTCAAAGTGGGTAATCCCGAGACCTTGAAACACTCAGATGAGAAGCTATTTTAAATCTGAGGCGTGTCCTGGTATGTTCAGGGATCAATGCGATTAAAGTTATGCTCTAAACTTCAACTTCTAGACCCCAAAATACTCAGACAAATAGAGGAAAGAGTTTGTCACAGAATGACCAGAAACTCCCACAGAGGCACAAGAAATATGAGAAACCAAGAAAATATTTCTCCTCTAAGTGACAAGAACAATTCTTCATAGTCCACAGACAGTATAGTGGAACTCGTGAAAATGTCTGATAGAGACTTCAAAATATTCATAGTGACAAAACTAAATGAGATTCAAGAGCTGAGAGACGATGAACCCCAGAAGATACAGGAGAAAAGAGACAATGAGTTCCAGGAGTTGAGGGAGTTCTTACACGACCTGAAAGAGGAAATACACCATAAAAAGAATCAAATGGAGCTGTTAGAGAGGAAGGTTGCAATACAGGAAATCTAAACCTCTCTCAAAAGGATTAAAAGCAGATTAGTCCACGCAGAAGATTAAATCTTGGATGTTGATGGCAAAACCTCTGACCTAGAAAAGACAGCAACAACAACAACAAAAAAATACGAGAAAATAACTTTTAAAATGAGAATAGTGTATGAGAAACACTAGATATCATTAAGCATCCAAACATCCCGGTAATCGGTATCCCAGAAGGTGAAGAAACTAATAAGGGCATTGATAAGCTATTCCATGAAATC